AGTATAAAAAAGGTCGGTAATCACTTGACTAGAGCTCTGGATTAGGAGTCAGCAGAGCTGTGTCTCATTGCTGGCTCTGCCACTGATCATGTGTATAACCCGGGGCAAGTCATCACCACTTTGTGCCTCCATTTCTTCTTCCACCATTTTTTTGCCTCTGTCTATCCAGATAGTAAACTCTCTAAGATCGGGACAGTCCCCCAGACCTGGTCTACACTAAAGACTTATTTTGAAATAACTCCACACTTCCAAGCCTGTTATTTTGGAATAAGGGGCTGGTTATTTTGAAACCTATACTCCTGCTTTCCTGGAGGAATAAGCTTATTTTGAAATAGTTATTTTGGGAGTTATTATTTTGAATTTAGTTATTTCTAAATAATTTCCTAGTGTAGACATGACCCCACTAGGTATATGTACAGCACCTAATGTAATGGATATCATCTCAGTTAGGGGCCTGGAGTTTTTGTATGTCTTCCTTCCTTCCCTTCCTCCAATTCATGACTGTAGACAGGCAGAAATCATGTAAGCCAGGTGTCTTTAAATTTTCTGGTGCATGTATTTCTTCTTGTGACAGGCTGTATTGTTCTATACAACTGCTCTCACCACACTAGTGATCATACTGAAATAAGATCAAGCCCTGATACACTGAGTAGTCTGGATGTTACCAGTCTGTATTCCAAACCAGATTTGCCAAAAACATAGGCACTGAATCTAATCACTTTCAGTTATTTTTTTTCCTACAGCAGCAGCAGCAGCGTTTCACTCAGCATTTACAGGATCTGCGAGCAACATTTAGACCCTAATTCCATCTCTCTGTAAACAGCTGTATTATCTCAGAATTGGAACAAATAGTAAAAAATCCTTCCTCACTGTTAACATTCATGAAAAACTTGCAAAGGATGCATCTAAACTGTTTATTGGATGTAAAGTTGCACTGCCTCTGAGAATGAAGATGATTTTTGTATGCTGCCATTGGAACAAGGGTTGCTTAGTTTAAGTCTCACTTTAGCTTAAAAAACATAAACTTGATACGGCTGCTGCCTGGCAATATAATTTGCTGTTTATTTTGGAAACTGAAACTTCCTCTGTATGAATAGCAGAAATAGGTGCACACGTTGGAATGCACCAAATAAAGTCAATGTCAATGAAATGTATCTTACAGATTAAGTTAAGAGTAAGACACCTACGAAAGCCACTGAAAACTAGGGTCAGGCTTTCTCTTCTGGCTCTTTCCAAAGTTCCCTGAAAATATTTGCCTGATTTTGAAGATACAAAACCCCTTGTCATTGAATAGCAACACTAGGGGTTTCACACTGTCAGAGCTATTTAGGTCGCATCCTCTTTGGTGTGACACATTATCATCAATAATAATAATAATAATAATTGTTTGATGATTTATGTTGCCATAGCTGCTAGAATCCCATTGCGCTATGTGATTGATGTCCTTTTGTCCACAAAAGACAGTGGGAATTGCAGCCTCTGATGTAGATTTGCCATGTCTCCTTTTACTGACTAGCCCCCTCTGAAATGTGCATGATCTTTGCAGTTATTGCAAATGTATGTATCTTGCTTATGAGTGGCTTGCTTCCTATAGGCTCTTTTCTCTCTAAGATGTAGGAGCCAACTCCTGTCATGGACTTTGATAGCCTGATGGCAATGGCATGCTATCTGGGAAGCTATCAGAGGGAACAAGAACAACATGCTGTCTCAGTATCTTGACTTCCGACAGTGGCCAAAGCCAGGTGCCCCATAGGAAATGCACAGAACAAGTAATCACCAAGTGATCTATTCCCTGCACTCATTCCCAGCTTCAGTATAACTTCGCTATAGGGACATGTGCACACCAGAGATGAAGGCACATGGAATGGATCCTGACCAATGGGAAATCTTGGCAAGTGATCATAACAGGAGACGCCATCATCTCATTTCCATTGTGCTAGGAGCTGTACAAAACCAGAACGAAAGGCTCACCGTCTAAATAAGTTTAAACCTTCAGCTTTCCACACTAAACCACCTTTACTCTGGAGATGGAAGCTTTGTAGCTTTTGTGCAAAAGGGCCAGTGTAGACAGCTCAGATTTGTTTTGCGCAAAAGCGCGTCTAGATTGGCCATGGACGCTTTTCTGCAAAAAGTGCTTTTGCGGAAAAGCATCCGTGCCAATCTAGATGCACTTTTTCGCAAATGCTTTTAACGGAAAACTTTTAAGTTAAAAGCATTTGCGGAAAATTATGCCAGTCTAGACATAGCCCCAGTGTTTGGCTTCCTGCTAAGGACCCCGCAATTCCCCATTACTGCAATGGTGACATTTGCATGGAAGACTGTCAGCCGATGGTCAGGGCTGTGTGTGTGTCTGTGTGTGTTGTACCTGAGTCTTTAACTGCTGGGACACAAGGCTCTGAAAAGTTCTTGTGGAGGGCAGCTAACAGGCTGACAGACGCCCCAGAGTTTATGGGAAGAGCTTATTACATCTCAGATTTCAGCTGCTAGGATACAGGATCCCTTCGCAGCAGGCAGTCTAGGGAAGACTGAGAGATGCCCCAATGGATCTGTCCTCTGGAAGTGACACGATCCAAACGCCTAAGCTCTCCCTATACCTATCCCTTATGACCGGCTGAAGTTCTTTTAAATTGTGCTTGGTTCTGTTACAGCAACTGAAGGAGTCAGGTTAAAACTTAAACAGTTAAAGGTTTATTCAAGAAGCTTATAAATCATATGGTTACAATGGCTATTGCTCTATTTCTTAACTGCTAGCAAATATAGATCTTAAAAATGGTTTCAAAGAAAATAAAGATAGAAAATAGAAATAATGGTACCAAGTGACAGCTTAATCTTTAAAGAGCTCTAAGTCTATGTGTACACTTAAGTCAAAGGACCACATCCAGGTACAATTTTTACCCCCTTCTGTGCCTCTCGGTCCCAGCGTGTCAGGCCAGGGTCGGTCCCTCAATTCCTAGGAAAGACGAATACGAGGTGGGTGTCCCCATGGAACCTCGGGCGATCGAACACCTAACCCGACCAGCAGATAGATGGTAGATTGACACTCAGAGTAAATGTGCTGCTGGACCCATCTTTATACCCATAGGGACCCGTATCCTCTTTCTTATCTAAGATGCCAAATTGTACTGGTCTGTCTTTGTGACGCCAGTTCTTACAAGCAAGTTTCAAGTTAATTTACACTTGCAAGGGAGATAACTAAAGTGTAAGGACTGGACATTTTTTTACTGGGCGAGAGATTCCTCCCCCCGCGGATGGCTGTGTGTTCGTATCAATATGGGTTTCAGTCAAGGGCACTCCTCGGCAGCCTCTTGGTCAGCAATTGGCGTATCTCTGTTTACAGCCATTCAGAGTCACAGCAGCCTCTCATATCCAGACCTTCTGTTCAAGGCTTTTACTGCTCTGTGCGCCCTGCATGCTCCAAGCAAGCAAAAATGGATGTTACAGGGGGGTTCCTGTCTGGCTACAAAGACTCCTGCCCAGACTGAGATGGCGAGCTACCAAAAGTCATTCATCTACAGACAGACCAGGCAACTTTTGAACTGGTAGTGTAGTGGTGAGGAGTTCTTGTATCCTTATATCAATCTCAGGAAGCCCCCTTGTTCAGTGGAGAGGGGAAGGTGGTTCTGTTCCTGGCCAGCCTCTGAGGTATGTTTACACAGCAGCACATGACAGCAAGCAGCCCAGTCCAACTTGACAGACGAAGGCTTGCACTACAGCATTAGCAACAGCTGTAGAGACCATGATTTTATGTCGTACATTGGGCTGGAGCTCGGGTGACCAGGAAAGAGGGTGGACTTCCATCCGGAGCCTCAGATGGCTGCAGAAGTATTTTCAGTGCTGTAGCGTGAGCCCACATCTGGTGAGCTGGGCTCAGCGTCTCACTGCTATGGGCAGCGTGGACAATGTACCTCAAAATGATGGGGACTAAAATAGCTGATTCCACTCCAGAGAGAGATCTTGGGGTCTCACTCTCTCTGCCCCCTCAGGTCTTAATCCGGAAAATAGAGATCATAGCACTTTCCTGGCTTTGGGGTTGCTTGTATGGATAAATACATTAAAAGATCACAGTAATGAAGGTGATATACAGTGTAGACAGCTGGCAAGTTTTTTCTGCTTTTGCGGAAAAACTTGCCAGTCTAGACACAGCCTAGGTGTGTGGTTATGTGATTGTGTAATGAAGAATAGGCAAGGACAAGAAGCAATGGGCTTAAACTGCAGCAAGAGAGGTTTAGGCTGGACATTAGGAAAAACTTCCTAACTATCAGGATGGTTAAACACTGGAATATATTACCTAGGGAAGTTGTGGCATCTCCATCTCTGGAGATACTTAAGAGCAGATTAGACACATCTATCCGGGATGGACTAGATGGTACTGGGTCCTGCCATGAGGGCAGGGGACTGGATTCGATGACCTCTCAAGGTCCCTTCCAATTCTAGCGTTCCATGATTCTATGATTCCTAATGCAACTGCAAAAGAGGGTAACCCATGGGGTTGCTGTGACCAGCTGAACCCTTTTGCCTAGTATATCTGGATATTAAATTTCAGCTATAATGAAACATTTCTTTAGAGCCTGGGTATGTTTTGCTTCATATGGCAGTGCAGGGGAGCAAGGAGGCATAAGGGGACTCCTTGCATGGTCTCTCCACTTCACCATTCTGTGCATGGATAGGGCAACTTGCATGGGTTAAAGAAGCAGGGAAGGGGTAGAAACTTGCCGGCAGGCCTCCACCCACTGCACCAGCCAGTACAGCAGAGCTCTCACAGAGTGAGAAGTAATCTGTTACTGGCATAACCTTGGAAGACTTGATTTACTAGCAGAGCCAAGGGAGAAGCAAGGAAAAAATTATGGCTCCAAGAATCACAATTTCTTTGCTGGGATGGCATGGCTCTGTGCCACCCCTTAGTCTACATTAGCCAGAAAAGGACAGCCGCCCTTCATTGTTTGCAATCATTCGATGCTGAGAAAGAGATTCCATTTGATGTTGCTGTATCAAATTCTATTCTAGCCAATAAAATAAGCCAAAGACAACCTGCTGCTGTTCACTGGGACAAGTTTACGATCTAGCATTATTCCGAATTTGTCTTGCAGTGTTTTTTCCACCTCCTCGTCAGTCAGTGTTGTGGTTTCCAACAGATCCATGTTCTCCTTGTAATTGTATTTTACCTTGGTGAGTGTCCACCCAACTAAAGCCCAAAGGCCATCTGGAGTCTGGAGGCTGCAGATGGACTTTATGACGAACAAGGAGTCTGGAGATGTCTGGAGATGCACATTCAGGGACCTGAAATTTTCTATCTCTTGTGGCTCAAGAGTAAACAAATAAATTTTCCTCCGTGCCTTTTTTTCCAGGTGATCAGAATTAGAGCGGCTTTGCTTGGGATTGTATTGCTTCCTTTTGATTTTCTCAAAGTACCAGATCCCCTTGTCTTCCATGAAGTGAAAGATGCCGGGAACCTGGGGCTGGTCTTTCCCAGAAATAAGCTCCATTGGCTGCCACATTTGATAGTCCATTCCAAAGCCACCATCCACTATGTAGGCTTTGCCATCAAGGACCACTTTTAGCAGAAGGTGATTAGCATAATGACTATATGCATTTTCTTCTGGGATGTAAACTTTTGCTGCTAACATAGTGGTGTCATATCCCAGCGTTTTCAGAACCCAAGATAAAAGATGATTGTTTTCCATGCACCAGCCACCGCGTTTCTTCCTCACTATTTTGTCATAAATGGGTTCTAAATCTAACTCAATGGTTTCCCCGCAGTGGATGCTGAGATTTTCAAAAGGAACAGCCCTGATGTGGTGTTGTAAGATTGCCGTCAAGGTCTCCAAATCCAGGTTTTTATAGGCACCATTATAAGAAATTCTGGTGAAATAGTCCGCGATGTCCATGTTACCTGTAGAGTGAGTTAAAAAAAAACCAGTTGCGCGTGTCTGAATTGTTTAGATGGGTGTCACCACAAGTCATAGGCACAGAACCTGTTTTCACCATGTTTAAATGCAGAAGACAAGGAGACAAGTTTGTTTAGTTTACTGTTATACCTAGCAGCTCCAGGTGTGCTGGGCACGCTACATACACATGTTAAGAGAGGTTTCCTGCCCAGAGTACCTAACGGTCTAAATAGATCGGGTAGGCAAAGGAAGTGGCATTGTTCCCATTTTTCAGGTAGGGTAATGGATACTGTGGCTACCTATCAAAGATAGTTAGGTGCCTAGCTCAGCGAGCATTAGTTACCTAAATACCTTTGAGGATCTGGGTTTAAAGAACCCACTCAAGGTCATAGTGGGATTCACAAGCAAACCCAGCACTCCTGAGTGCCAATCCAGACCTTTAACTGCAAGTCCAACCTTCTAGGCGCTGCTTGGTTGACTATTTCCTGTGCTAGTCATGCTGGTTGACAGAGGGACCCATCCCACTGTTCTCTGCTGATTAGCATTCCTGGTGCTGTGGGCTTTCCATGATCTGGCAGCTCCATTCTCCTCTCCTTAGCAGGGGTGAATGGGAGGGGCTCGTCTTTGGGCCCTTACTTACCACCATCCCTGGCAGCCTAGCCTGGTGGTTTGTGCCTGCCTGCTCTCAGGGAGGGGCTGGGATGTTCCCTTTCCAGACCATGCCCCCTCCACAGCAGCTTTTCCCCTCCCTTATCATCATGTGAGATACAACAGGGAGGGGGGTTGTCTTTATTCTCCCTTGTCATTGTTCCCACAATCTTCAGGAGCAATAAGCAAGCCCTATACTTGGAAGTCAATCATCAGGGATGGGCAAATAGATCTACGATCCCTTTACCTGACAGCAGCAGGACCTGGCTTTCTCCATGTGTCCCTGTTGCTCCTTCCACATGGCCTTTTAGGAACCCTGGGACCAGAGAGGGATCACCAGATGCCCTGGGATTGGGAAATGTGCTACTCATCAGCTCCGTGCACTCTGAGGGTATGTCTAGACTACATGCCTCTGGCTACAGAGGCATGTAGATTAGGCTACCCCGCATAGGCAAAGAAGCGGGGATTTAAATAATCCCTGCTTCATTAAAATAAACATGGCCGCTGTGCTCTGCTGACGATCAGCACAAGGCATAAGGGATCGGTCAGCAAAGGCTTCCCCAGCTGACTGATCCACGTCTAGACTACTGCTCTGTGCCGGATCAGCTGATCGTCGGCACAGCGTAGTGACCATGTTTATTTTAATAAAGCAGGGATTAGTTAAATCCCTGCTTCTTTGCCTATTCCGGGTAGCCTAATCTACATGCCTCTGTCGCCAGAGGCTTTTAGTCTAGACATACCGTTAGAGACTAACAAAAAAACTTCAGTGTTTAACGGGTGGTGTGGAGGGAATGACAGACAGACTAGCTAGTGACGGCTGGCTGAAGGTGACATCAAGGTGCACTGGTTAGCTGGCTGTTCCCTGAATATAACTGCTGAAGGTGACATCAAGGTGCACTGGTTAGCTGGCTGTTCCCTGAATATAACTGGGCAGGGGAGTGGCCAGAGAGTTCTCTTTAAGATTACAGCTCGCAGTAAGCAATGCAAGAGGAAAGTCAGGACCTTGTGGAGAAAAGGGCCTTTTGGGAAGGAATCTGGGATTTTGATAGGGACAAATAGGTTGACAGTTACACCCAGAGGACCGAAGAGTTAGAACCCCCAAAAACCAGCCTACTCTGAGGATCAGATTCAGAATGACTCGCCAGAGCGCAGATGATTGATTTGCGAGGCCTCTAAGGGTATGTCTACACTGCCACCCTAGTTCAAACTAGGGTGGCAGTGTAGACATACTCTAACATCTCAGGTATGTTCTGTCTTCAGATAAAAGTGCCCTAAGACCAAAGGATGCTGCTGTAACCCACACATCTGGAGCTGCTGTACTTCCCATCTAGTGGCACTGAGACCACTGACAGAGGATACATCTACACAGCAAGCTTCTTTTGGAATAAGCTTTTCCAGAAGATATCTTCCGGAAAAGCTTATTTCAAATTAAAACATCTACACCGCAGGGAAGCCTCAAAATTAGTCCAAGGCAGGCTCCCCTAATGTAGACGTGCTATCTCGATTTAGAGCCCCAAGAGGCAGTGGGGAGGAATAACTTTAGAATGGCCCTGGTGAGGAGCTATTTTGACAGAGCAACAGTGGAGTGTCCACACACACCCTCTTCTGAAAGAGCTTCTTCAGAAGAGGTAGTGTTCCTTATGGAATGAGGTTTGCCAAAGTCAGAAAAAGCCCTCTGTTATTTCAATTTTCTTTCAAAATAACGCAATTGCTGTGTGGACGCTAGTATTGCTTTTCCGGAAGAACAACCGTTATTCTGGAAAAACGGTGCCATGTAGATGCACCCAGAGAGAATAATGGGTCTGCTCTACAACCTTCACTAATAGCCATCTGGCTCTGGGCTCATGTGGTAGAGGCTCATACGCTGTGCTCCAGAGTTGTTAGGAGGTCTCATGTTCAATTATACCCGCAGATGACCTGGGCCTGTTGGCATTATGATAGACATGATTTGTGTATTTAAAACTTACTCCACTAAGGATATAAGGCATATTCAATCTGCACAAAGTTAAATGATCAGAATGAAGTATTGGGAAAAAAAACCACACAAAAACCTTCTCATAAGACAGAAATGGGGGAAATACCTCAACTGTAAAACAATATTGCTTCTAATTAGGACAATATGCAGGCAAAGTCAGAGATGTCCCTAACTGGTGTTATTCAGAATTCAGAGGAATATAAAGTATAGCTATCCTACTATTAGTAACAAAGTCAGGCCCCCTAAAATCAAATGAATGGCTTAAAAATCATGAGAAGTAACAAAATTATTTTAAATATTTGTTTCGCTTTAAGGAAAATCGTACTGTGTTGTTGCTGCTGCTCTAATTTTAAACGTGTTGAAAGTATGTTGGCTTTGAAAACAAAATAAGATTTATTACTGTTTACAACTATCAGAAACAGTCATAATGTTAGACTTGTCTGAATGTGTCTGTCTGTCATGGTTATTTCTGGGTCACCTTTTACACCGGCATCTGAACCGAGCCAGATGATTAGAATATGTCGTCTGGCTGAGGCTGATAATTGAGCGAATAAGCCAGTAAGTCTGTTACATTGACACAACAGAAGTCAAGTCTGAAATTGGCTGAAAATTCCCTCTTCACTCGTGCAATGTAGCCATTTCCTGAAATGCTTGTTCATAGGGCAGATTTGAATGCATGTTCATGACCAAATCAGCCACAAACATTCTGGATTTTAAAAGTGTCTTACCTGTAAAATCAGTTCAACCACAAAACAGGACTATGTAGCACTTTAAAGACTAATAAGATGGTTTAATAGGTGATGAGCTTTTGTGGGCCAGACCCACTTCCTCAGATCAAATAGTGGAAGAAAATTGTCACAACCATATATACCAAAGGATACAATTTAAAAAAATGAACACATATGAAAAGGACAAATCAAATTTCAGAACAGAAGGGGGATGGGGGGGGAGGTAAATGTCTGTGAACTAATGATATTGGAGGTGATAATTGGGGAAGCTATCTTTGTAATGGGTAAGATAATTAGCGTCTTTATTCAAACTTGAGTGTAAAGTGTCGACTTTAAGCATGAATGACAGTTCAAAGGATTCTCTTTCAAGTGAAGTCTTAAAAGGCCTTTGAAGTAGGATGCAGGTAATCAAGTCGTTGAGACAATGTCCTTTCTGATTGAAATGGCAAGAAACAGTTTTTTCTTTGTGATCCTGTCTGATATCTGTTTTGTGGGCATTGATCCTTTGGTAAAATGTCTGAGACGTTTGTCCAATGTATGTTAGACACCACTCTCTACAGAAAACCCACTGACTCATACAGTTACCTACATGCTTCCAGCTCCCATCCAGAACACACCGTACACTCCATCATCTATAGCCAATACAACCGCATCTGGTCTAATCTTATTGACAGAGACCAGAAACTTCAGGATCGCTACAAAGCATTTATAAACTTCAGCTACCCACCTGGAGAAATAAAAAAGCAAATTGAAAGAGCCAGACGATAATTGTATCCTTTGTTATATATGGTTGTGACAATTTTCTTCCACTATTTGATCTGAGGAAGTGGGTCTGGCCCACGAAAGCTCATCACCTAATAAACCATCTTGTTAGTCTTTAAAGTGCTATATAGTCCTGTTTTTTTGTTTCAACCACAAATGAGTAAACGCTCACTCTCTTGCTTCTTTGGGCACTAAACCATCTCACCCGATTGTCAGTCCTATATGCAGTGAAGTTGGGAACAGACAACAGGTCTCCAACTTCTCTTGAAACTCCTTACATCATGTCACTTTCACTTTCCTCTGTCACTGATCGCCAAAGCCAGAGGAGGGCAGAGTAAAGCTCTAGCGGGCTAGCAAATTTCATTTGCATTGCTATAATTAAGATTCTCATTCTACTCCTTAGAATACACAAGGCTTGGTCTTTTCCAGTGGCTAAATCCATAGGCTAGTTGGGGGAGAGAGGGTGCAGGGTTCTTCTTTGTTTTAATAACATTATAATAAAAGATGGTGTTACTTTTTTCAGTATATTAGGCAGTTAATGTGTTGTTCAGGCATTTAGGGTCAAAAGTTCATCCACAGGGGTCCTGAAAAATTTTCACTATTTGATATGTCACAAGAATGACAAGCATTTAGCACTGCTGAACACAAACACAAACACAAACCCTAGTGCAATTCTTGTATTCTAGCCTTGTGTCTCATTTGTTATCTATTGTCTCCGCTGCATTTCTTTGCGGATTACAGTAGATTTTGTAGAATGTAAATTCTTTGGGGCAAGGGCTATTCTTCTTGGATGTTTGAACTGTGTCGAGCATTACAGGACCTTAATTGTAATGGGTGCTTCTGGATGCTACTGCTTCATAAGAATTAAAGAATGACAATGGCTATGT